CACAGGCCATGTAGTGCAAGGGTCAACTGTATTTTAAATAAAATTTTATTTTAAATAAAAACTTTTCTATTGATACAATTAGAGGAAGTCTGTCTTTGCAAATTAAAGGTCACTTTAAAATTTTTATGTTATTCATAACTTTATACTTATTTCAGTTTTAAAATGTTATGCACCTAAAAAAATATCTCCTTGGGTATTTTTGTTTGTTGTTTGTTTTGGGGGTTTTTGTTGTTGTTGCTGCTGCTGCTGTTGTTTTTTAAACTACAGAAACAGTTTTTGGAGAAGTTGTAGAGTGATGTGAATAAGCACATAGAAATAGCTTCGTTATAGTTTTGGAATATTTCCCTAAATGGTCAATGAAATGACCCAGGTGTCTACCAGTTGTGGTGATAAAAATCTTGCTGTTATATTATTTCTAGGAGTTTTGAAAATATGAGGGCAAATAGAAGTAGCAATTAAAAAAATATGTAAGACCATTAGCCTAACAGACAAAACTAGCAGAGAAAAAAATTATTTGTTGACACACACACAAAAATAAATTTTTTAGTGCCAGTTCTCATCTGAGGCTATTTCACAGATAGCATGAGTACAAAGGAGGAACATAGTGACAGCAAACAGTTGCCGGGAAGGGATATAGCCAATACACAAGGCTATGGGCAGAAATAGGTATATTCTCTTTCACTTTTTTTTTTTATATTTGGTGCTTTTTAAAATTCAACACATTTACATTTTTTGAGGCTAAAGACTCTGAATGTCTTTGTACTTGGAGAGATATAAGCATCAGAAATTATTTGGAAATTGTTGACAAAGCTTAAAAATCAGAAATCTTCAACGTCCTGTAGTTTTCTGAGTAGAGGTCTTTTACTTCTTTAGTTAAGTTTATTCCTAGGTATCTTAATTTTTTTGGTGCAATGGTAAATGGGATTGTTTTTCTAATCTCTCTTTCTGAAAGTTCACTATTGGTGTATAGAAATGCCTCAGATTTCTTGGGGTTAATTTTGTATCCTGCTACATTGCCAAATTCATGTATTAAGTCTAGTAGCTTTTTGATGGAGTCTCTAGGGTTTTGTATGTATAATATCATGTCATCTGCAAATAAGGACAGTTTTACTTCCTCTTTTCCAATTTGGATGCCTTTTATTTCTTCTTCTTGCCTAATTGCAATGGCTAATACTTCCAGGACTATGTTAAAGAGGAGTGGCGAGAGTGGGCATCCCTGTCTTGTTCCTGTTTTTAGGGGAAATGGTGTTAGTTTTTGTCCATTGAGTATGATGTTGGCTGTGGGCCTGTCATATATGGCTTTTATTATGTTGAGGTATGATCCTTCTATTCCCACCTTGCTGAGAGTTTTTATCAAAAATGGGTGTTGGATTTTGTCGAATGCTTTTTCTGCATCAATTGATATGACCATGTGGTTTTTTTCTTTCAATTTGTTTATGTGATGTATCACATTTATTGATTTACGGATGTTGTACCATCCTTGCATCCCTGGGATAAATCCTACTTGGTCATGGTGTATGATCCTTCTGATGTACTGCTGGATCCGATTTGCTAAGATTTTGTTGAGGATTTTGGCATCTATGTTCATGAGGGATATTGGCCTGTAATTCTCTTTCATTGTGTTGTCTTTACCTGGTTTTGGTATTAGGGTGATGCTGGCTTCATAGAATGAGCTTGGAAGTGTTCCTTCCTCCTGAATTTTTTGTAGTAGTCTGAGGAGGATAGGTTTTAGTTCTTCCTTGAAAGTTTGGTAAAACTCCCCTGAGAAGCCATCTGGTCCTGGGCTTTTGTTTGCTGGGAGCTTTTTGATGACTGCTTCAATTTCTTCCATAGTTATTGGCCTATTGAGGTTTTTAGATTCTTCCTGATTGAGTTTTGGAATGTTGTACTTTCCTAGGAATTTGTCCATTTCCTCCAGGTTGTCTAGTTTGTTGGAGTAGAGCTGTCCATAGTATTGTTTAACAATCATTTGTATTTCTGTGGGGTCTGTTGTTATTTCGCCTCTATCGTTTCTGATTTGGTTTATTTGGGTCCTCTCTCTTTGCTTCTTGGTGAGCCTGGCTAGAGGTTTGTCAATCTTGTTTATCCTTTCAAAGAACCAGCTCTTGGTTTCATTGATTTTCTGTATTGTTTTTTTGGTCTCTATGTCATTTATTTCTGCTCTAATCTTTATTATCTCCTTCCTTCTGCTCACTCTGGGGTTTTCTTGTTGCTCTCTTTCTAATTCTTTGAGTTGAAGAGTTAGATGATTTACTACCATTTTTTCTTGTTTTTTGAGATAGGCCTGTAGAGCTATAAACTTCCCTCTCAGGACTGCTTTCATTGTGTCCCATAGGTTTTGGATTGTTGTGTTTTCATTGTCATTAGTGTCCAGGATGTTTTTAATTTCTTCTTTGATGTCATTGGTAACCCAATCAATATTTAATAACATGCTATTCAGCTTCCAAGTGTTTGAGTATTTTGGGTTGTTTTTATTGTAGTTTATTTCTAACATTATGCCATCGTGGTCTGAGAAGAAGCTTTTTATGATTTCAATCTTCTTGAATTTGTGGAGACTTTGCTTGTGACCCAATATGTGGTCTATTTTTGAATATGTCCCATGAGCACCTGAGAGGAATGTATATTCCATGGCTTTGGGGTGAAGTGTTCTGAAGATGTCAATTAAGTCCATCTGATCTAGTGAGTCATTTAGGATTGCTGTTTCTTTGCTGATTGTTTGTCTAGCGGGCTTATCCAGTGGTGTCAGTGGTGTATTAAAGTCCCCTACTATGATTGTATTGTTGTCGATCTCTCCTTTGATATCTTCCAGGAGTTTTTTTATGAATTTGGGTGCTCCTGCATTGGGTGCATATATGTTTACCAGGGTTATATCTTCTTGTTGTATTGATCCCTTTAGTATTATGAAGTGGCCTTCCTTATCTCTGGTTATGGCCTTCACTTTGAGATGTATTTTGTCCGATATAAGTATTGCTACCCCAGCTTTCTTTTCCTTTCCATTTGCGTGAAAGATATTTTTCCATCCCTTCACTTTCAGTCTGTGTGAGTCCCTTCTAATGAGGTGGGTCTCTTGTAGACAGCAGATGTATGGGTCATGTTTTTTTATCCATTCAGCCACTCGATGTCTTTTGGTTGGAGCATTTAGTCCGTTTACATTTAAAGTTATTATTGAAAGGTACTTGTTTGTAGCCATTTCTTTTTTTGTGTGTGTGGCTGTTTTCTTTCTGAGCTTGTTATTTCTTCTTTTTACACCAGTCCCTTTAGCATTTCTTGCATGGCTGGCTTGGTGGTGATAAACTCCCTTAGCCTTTTTTTGTCTGTGAAGCTTCTTATTTCCCCTTCAATTTTGAATGAAAGCCTTGCTGGATAGAGTATTCTTGGATTCAGTCCTTTGCTTTGCATCACTTTGTAGATTTCTGTCCATTCTTTTCTGGCCTGATGTGTTTCTGTTGAGAAATCATTTGATAATCTAATGGGAGATCCCTTGTATGTAACTTTCCGTCTCTCTCTTGCAGCCTGTAAGATTCTCTCTTTGTCCTGAACATTTGCCATGGTAATTATGATGTGTCTTGGTGTGGGTCTTTTCGGATTCACCTTGTTTGATAAAATATTTTTGTTACTGTTTGTGTAACATATATGAAACACTAAAAATAAAGCAAATGTTTTTTTGTAAAAAAAAAAAAAATCAGAAATCTTGCCTGCTGTGTTCATGAAAGGAAGTTAGTAGATATTTGGTACAGGTTTGTAATGAATAAATAGGGCATATAAAAACTTTACAACTAAATATAGTGAATTATTTTAAGTGCTTTCCATTAAAAAGCATTCTAGAACAGTGGTTCTCAACCTTGGCTGCACATTAGAATCACCTGGGAATTTTTTTAAAATCCTGATTTCTGGGCCTCATCCTCCGGAAATTGTTTCTTTGTTACTAATGTTGTGGCCCCACCCCATAACAAAGAAACAGAATTTCCGGAGGATGAGGCCCAGAAATCAGGATTTTAAAAAGATTCCCAGGTGATTCTAATGTGCAGCCAAGATTGAGAACCACTGGTCTAAAGTAAGATCAACATTACAGTTATGAAGTAGCAATGAAAATAATTTTATGGTTGGGTCACAACATGAGGAACTGTATTTAAAGGGCCAGAAGGTTGAGAACCACTGATCTAGAGAGTTACAGTCTAACATTCAACCTATGTATTTACGTATAGAAAACAGAAAAAAATATTTAGATTAGAATTTAGGACAAATTTTTTAAATCAAATTCTGAGTCTGCCTATTTATATGGTAGCACTGAAAAGTGGTTGGTTAATTAATTGCACCTCCCTTTTCATCCTCTTTCTCCCATGCTTTTATTACAAAGGCTACAAAAGTTATAGACTTAACTACTCAAACTTCAGCTTTCCAAACTTCCTTCCTGCTAGGGGATCCATGTTCTCATTGTTCCCACTGAGAAATGTCAGTAGGTGTCTGCTGATTCTGCCTTTTTCCCTAAATTTTTCCTACTTCCTTTTGTCTGTGTAAATGATGGAAACCCTAGGAGTATAGCAGCCTTCTTATGACATGATGCGACAGGATGTGTATGTGAAGGCCTGAGAAAGATCCCGGGTCCTTGTTGGCATAATAGAGAGACCATATCAGTACTGCATTAAAGATCTCCACATTTGTTGCTATATTAGACAATCTTTGTGTATTTAAGTTTTTAATTGTATGTTTTTCTATTATTTGCTGCTAAACCCATACCTAACTGATAGAAGTCACACATCATTTAGTTATCTTTTTTTTTTTTTAAGTCAGATATGTTTCTTGGTTTGGGATTCCACAGTGGCAGTCTCTGGGACACTGATTCAAGTGCAAGTATATTATTTCTGATGGTGATCTCAGGAAATATCAGTAGGGAGTGAAGAAATGAGTCAAAGGAGGGAAGGATGTCAGTAAAGGGACATTATCCATTACCAGAGATGCAGAGAGAACTTGGAATAGTTGCTTGGACGCCTGCTTAAAGTTCTATCTGACTGGTGGCTTCTGAAGAGTATGGTTTATGGTGGAATCAGTAAATCCCATGGCCAAGTGCCTATTGTCATAACTCCTTCAGCATACAGAGAAAACAATTGCACATAAAATGTGTGTAATCTTGAACCTTGGACATTGATGCAGGTAGAGGCCCTGCAAGCAAAAATGTAAACACATATTGGGGAATCATTCCAATACCAACAAGGATGAATTACCTTTTTTTCAGTATGTAGGGCACCAGTGCAATCAACTTGCCACCAGTGACTACTTTCTAATTAATGGTATTCTATTGAGGGCTTTCTACCACTTTCAGTTTTATATTTGGGATTTTGTGCTTTCCAACTCTCTTTAGGCTCTAATGGATTAGCTATCCAGGATTTCCTGAAGATTGGGCCTCCTGGTTGTCATTCTCACTTCCTGTTCATTGCCATAATTATATCCATATCTCTGATAGTTAAGTGCTGCTGCATGGCCTCTACAATTAGAAATTACCATCATTTTCATTGACACTAGGTAGCCCAGTTCTGTATAACATTAGTCCCTACCATTAACTTCTATGGAAGAGAGTTACTAATTCTCAACAATATTGATTTACTCTTTACTAATTCATTCCCTATAACTTTAGAGAAAGGAGGATTCTCTGAGCCTTACCAGGGAGCATAGACAACTCATTGATTCTTCAGTCTTTCATAGTAAAGCCATTCTAACATCCCATATCACTAAGAGTATTAAAATCATCTTTACTATTTTCCAACAAAGTTCTGGCAAATCCACCTCATTTTCTATGGGTTGGAATTTTTTCCAAATTCTAAGAAGCCATATTAACTCTGCCTTTGTGAAGCCTTTCTGATTTCAAATCAAGTTCACTACACATTCCCCTGTATCATATACAGAGAAGGCAAAAACCAAGATTATATACTTTGATTACTTACATTTTTTAATATGTTGCTAAAGTTGAACTCCTCAGGATGGAGACCATTTAAAAAAATCAGTTCAGGTTTTATGAAACTGGAATACCTTATCTTATCACAAATTATTGATCCATCAGATTGTTTACTCTTTCACATAGGGAACATATTTTTTAAATAAAAGAAAAATGTGCCTGTTATTTTTAAGTAAATCATATTTTAGGGGACTGTCTTTAAGCAACAGTCTAGGTAAAGTATTTATAACCAAAATATCAATCTTATTTTCCTCTAAGGCAAAGGCAAATTTTTAGCCACATGCCAGAGAAAGAAATCAGTGTGGTAGGCATGATGGTTTCTTAAAAAAGTTTTGTCTCTCTTGTAAACTGTTAAATGTAAATGTAATCGTAATTCACTTCCCTAGGGACATCCAGTCCCATAAAATTAAAAGTTAAAGCTTTATACATTCAAGTTCTTATTTAAAATTAGAACCAGAATTAGTGTTACTTAGATATGTCTTATTTGTTTTTAGTTATTAAGTTAACCTTAATTTTCATCCATTATTGGTTATCAATAAATTAAAGCTTTTTGCAATTTTAAAGCATGTTCAGATTTCATAAATTTTACAAACTGTTAATTCTTTCCTAGAGAAATGCTGTTAATCAAGATAATACACCTAATTGATTTAAGCTAGCATTTGGTCTTTGCCATTAAAGTATAAACAGAAAATTATTTGTGAGTAGTAAGCACACATTTCACACCTAATATAAGTATTTAAATCTAAAATACAATACTATTCTCTAATTTGGCAAATAATATTAATTAGAATGTAGTTTTATGCAATATAGATATTTACAACTATTTCTTTTAAAAAATCCTATATTAATTCTATGGACTCTAAACTTGAAGTTTAGGAACTCATTTATAAGTTTTCTTCAAATGAGATTCATGATTCCTCATAATAAATATTTAACTGTAAGTCATAAACTGAAAAAAACCCTGTAAAACTTCAAGAAAGCCTTATACAATGCTATTGTTATCACAAACCCATAATTAATAACTGCATAACATCCTATATAATAAAGAGGTAATATGGAAATTGATCCTCATGCCCTCACAAAGATGGCTGCCTACAACCAGGCCAGCAGGGGGATTAGTGAGGGACAACCAAACGACTGAACAGCAGGCTACGTGGGGTGACCAGGCTGGCGGGGGGCGGGCCATGAAGAGCAATTAGGCTGGCAGGTGGGCAGTTGAGGGCAACCAGGCCAGCAGGGGGCAGTTGGGGGCAACCAGGCCAGAAGGGGGGCAGTTAGGGGTGACCAGACCATCAGGGGGCAGCTGGGGGAAACCAGGCTGGCAGAGAGGGGCAGTAAGAGGCTACCAGAATAGCAGCAGGGGTAGGTAGGGGCAACCAGGCCAACAGGGAGGGGAGGTTGCAGTTGGGGTGATTAAGTTGTCAGGGAGGGCAGTGAGGGATGACTAGGCCAGCAGGGGGGCAGTTGGGGGCAACCAGGCCAGCACACAGAGGCACTGAGGGGTGATCAGGCTGGCAGGAGGGGGGCAGTTAGGGATGACCAGGCAGGCAGGCAGGTGAGTGATTAGGATCCAGCAGTCCAGGATTGTGAGAGGCATGCCCCTGGGATCGGGCCTAAACCAGCAGTCAGACATCCCCTGAGGGGTCCTGGATTGGAGAGGCTGCAGGCTGGGTTGAGGGTACCACCCCCCATGCATGAATTTTGTGCACCAGGCCTCTGTTTTTAATATTATAGAAAATTTTAAAATTAATCATGCAAATTTGAGGAAAGAACATCAGATTTTTAAATTTATTTTTCCAAACAAAGCAGCAAAAGTCTTGACCAATAATTACACAGTAAAAAGCAACGTCAACAAGCAAGTTAAGAATTGCCTGAAGCTCTTTCAAGGTTACATCTTAATATCCTTGAAAGGAGACACTTTAAAAATATAAGATCTTCTGAAATGAGCAGGCTTGTTATATTATTAGCCTACTAAATAGATAGAAAAAAACATTTGCACAAAAAGTATTTTAAAATGTTATATGAAACAAATATATATACTTATATAGAAATAATATATATTCTTATATAATACTAGAGGCCCGGAGCACAAAATTTGTTCACGGGGGCGGTGGGGGGAGATCCCTCAGCCCTGCCTGCATCCTTTCCAATCTGGGATCCTGCTTGCAATCTGAAACCACTGGCTCCTAACTGCTCACCTGCCTGCCTGTCTGATGCCCCTAACTGTTTTCCCCTCTTGGCCTGATAACCCTAACTGCCTATCTGCTCTCCCCTCCTGGCCTGATCCTCCTGTCTATCTGCTCTCCCTTCCTCTTTGTGCGCAGATGTGCTGAGGCCCCCAGTGCAGGTGTGCTGGGAGCTCTCCCACATGGCCCCACCCCTGTCCTGATTGGTCATTACGTGACAGCATCCCAGGCAATTTGCATATTCCTCTATTTTTAGTATAGATTTCTACATAATATCTACACTAATAAAAGAGAAACATGCAAATTGGTGTCTCTCCACTACACCCACCAGCCAATCAAAGCAACTATGCAAATTAACCCAACAAAGATGGCTGTTAATTTGCATATGCAGGCGCAGAGCGAAGACTGAAGGCTCCGGCTGGAGTGAAGATTGAAGACTGAACACTGAAAACTGAAGACTCAAGACTGAAGAGGCTTGGGTCCCGGGTGCCGGAGGAAAACTGGTGCCAGCAGCCAGGGGAAGGAATGCTTATTGTGCTAATCTTCGTGCAATGGGCTTCTAGTTTATATATATAATTCAATTGCATTAGATTCAATATTTTAATAACTTAATAATAAAACAGGAGACTTCCCCAAAATTGGACACCCAGGATCAAATTCCCAGCAGCAGGATACAGAGTAGTTTAGAAAGTGGGCCCTAAAATCACATGCTCTAAAAGTCTCAGCTCAATAAGTACTGACTCATTAATGATGTGTCTCACTTTCCTTATATCATACCATGACACTCACAGAATAACCTCCTTGACTTATTTTGGCAGTCAGCTGAGATAGTGAGTATAAAGCACCGAGCCCAGGTGATTCCAAGAACTTGAAAAATGTTTGTCATTCTTTTGGAAATGGTAGCTATGATGGTGGTGGTGTTTCTTTCTATAGGGTCAAATATTTCCCTGTGCCTTTTGGAGGCTTTTGGTGAAAAGTTTAAGAAGTAAGTTGACACAAATAAGCATTAGACATTTCTCAAACTAGATATTCAGTTTTCTGTGATTATGTGCAACATTTCCATACCTTAATATCCATCACTTAAGAAGGGCTTCCCACCATCTCAGTCTTTGAAATCCTACATATTCTACAATTATTTTTTCTCTCTTTCTTGACTTCTTCCCTGATCATATTAGCTAAAAATAACTTCTCCTTCCTCTATTGAAGTCATTATGCTTTATTTACATTTTGAGTGCTATGATTATCTAGAGATATGTACTATCTCATTTTCTCCTAACAAACAGCCTAATGAAATAAATATAATTATCATTCCAATTTTCCAGATGAAAAAACTGAGGGTACATAAATTATACTTATTTTCCAAAGTCACCAGCAAGGAAGCAAAGTGATTGAGACAGGTCTAGCAGCCTTACATGTTTACCTTCCAAAATAACTCTTTCCTACTGCCTCAGTCTCATATATGTCACTAAATAGGCCATCTTGGGTTGTCACTACTTGTATCCATGGCTTATTTCTCTTACTAAATTATAAGCTCCTAGAATTACAAACTAAATTATAAGCTCCTTAATTACAATTTTTTTCTCTTGTTATTTATAACAAAAAGGACAATCAAGGATAACAGGAGGGAAGAAATGCTTTTATCTGACCTTGCTGAACTCAAGGAAATACTAACACTCTCAAGGGAAATGAGCATGGAGAGATATCAATACTATAAAGATTCAGACAATTGTCTTAACTTTCAGAAGTTATGCCAAGGAAATCTGAATCTTTGTCATGTCACTATTGATGATACATGTAAACTTTCATAGGGTCATGAAATAAATAGTGATGAACCATTCACTTCCAAAGCTTTTGTTTCCTCTGAAGGCTGACATGG